TTTTCGGGATGAAGGCGAGACCAAACTACCTAGGGTTATTTGCGGCTTGCAATATCAAAAAAATTATGCGGAGTCAAAAAAAATTTCACTACGATCGGATACCCAAGCGCAAAGTTACGTTCGCTTGAAGTTTCGGTAAAAAACATTTCATAGGCAAACCGTTGGGGGTGCGGCGGTTTGCGCCGAATGGCTGAGGTGACGCACGGTCAATCTGACCGCGGCGACCCCATGCAGTTTTCAGCCGACAGGATTGATAACCACGACACCCCCTATGGTTCTCGTATAAACCGGCATAGGGGTTTGTAATTTTTGAAAAAGGGTGGTATTTTTGGAATTTTTTAGTTTTTGGATGGTATATCTTGAAATGATTAATAGTTTAACAATTTTATAGCACTTTTTTCCTTGGGTTCAATTTCAAATGATTAATAGTTTAACAAAATCTCCACACACAAGCAAAATATGTCATGTTATTCAAGAATCACAAGTTCATATAAGTCGTGGGTTGTGACTGGTATATAATCAACAATGTTGAAGAGCAGGGCAAAAGGTCGAGTTGACCAAAGCTCGATAAGAACTAAAGGAATAGTTGGTTAAGATTGCTCTGTGGTCGACGATAGTGAAAATCAAGATAGAGGGTCGGGTCGACTGAAGCTGGAGAAGAACTACGAAATTTGTGGGTTGTGGTTGTTCTGCTGTTGGCAATGACAAAAGGCGGGTAGAGGTTGAATGGAATGGAGCGACAAGGAGAAGTCGTTGAAATTAGAGGTGGAAATCGGTACGGTACCGGTATCCAAATTCCAATTACCGAAATCTCAAATACTGAATTTCACCCTAAAATCAATCACAATCTCAATCGCTAAATATTTCGGTATCCCAATTGGTACTTTGGTATCCCAATCGGTATTATCGAATACGAAATTTATTACCTTTGCAATCAATGATTAAATATATAAATTAAATTTGTTATTTAATTTATGGGAAAGAGACTAAGCAAAGAGTCTTCATTTTGTCTAGAGCTAGGATATGGATAAGGAAAATGGAGGAGAGGTGACATCTCAAATTCTTGTCATTGGTAATCTTTAATTTGACGAATGGGTGGCTAAGAGACGACAAATACTAGTGTTTGATTTTTGGTATTATGAAAATAACAAGAGATTAGCTGATAGACGAGAGTGACTTAAACTGGAAAGTCAAAATTGAGTTGGATGTGGTCTTCTAAGTTGTGAAAGAGTGAATGAATCTCGATCTCAATCTCTAAAACATAAGCCAGTATTCGGTAACACCAAATAGTGATAAATTCGGTACAATATTCGATATATCCCAAATACCGATACTAGACTTCCAGCCCTAGTTGCAAATATAAGTTCCAAGTCATTGTTTCATTAATCTATAATTGCAATTAAGGAATGAATGACGTGTCGAATATAGGGCATCTGGAGATTGCGTCGTTTCGAAAAATCATGCCTAGCGCTAATTAATCGTGTCAAACTCTACCTAGGCGGCATCTAGGCACTATAAATGCCTATTGTCTGGCTAGAGTTTATGAGAATCGTTTTATCACTGTCTAAATCTTACGTATGAATTACGTCTTTTTGAACTCTGATTAAGGATAAACATATCATATAAAAAATATGTTTTCTATTAAATGTTAACAGTTATCAAACAATAAAAAAATTGAAATCTGATTTCAAACCATTCCGAGAATTAAAACGAGCCATAAAATCTATACTATATATTATGACAATTCAAAAGCAATCTCTTGCCACATAAGCACTTGGATGATCCACAATTTGCCAAGTTGGACAACTTTTTTACAAACAAAAAAATTAATTATTAATGCATTTATGGAGCTACCTCTCTCTTCTTTAATATTTCCATTTCTTTTATCCAATTATTCCTTTCATTTACCCATTTATTCTTTTTTAATAATAAGTTACATGTTGATAAACTTAAACAAACACACATAAATAATATTTATTTATCAAGTAAAAAAAATACAAATAATAAAATAGAGAGTGACATATATCACATTTGTTTAAATAAAAAATATCTGATTCAACCTTATGAAGTAAATTTTCAACTCATTTTTACTAAAATTGAAAGATAAGTTACATTTTGATGAAACATGCACAATAATGTTCTTATCGATTAAACAAAATATATATATGAAAAGATAGAAAATAAACATTTGACATTCAATTACCTTTAAAAAATAAAGGGCAATGTCTATTTTTTACCCAAACCTTTTTCAGATTCTTTTATTTTAACCAAACCTATTAAATTCCTAAAAATTATCCAAAAGTTAACTCTCCGTCGGATTTTCTGTTAGTAATGCTGACTAAGTATGACCATAATGAGTTGACTTCCCACGTGGCGGTCAGAATATCATCATTTACTATTTTTAATAAAAAGATTATCAAAAAACAAAACAAAATCACACCTCTCACGTGGACGAAATAAGTAACGGTAACAGAATGAATGCCCAGACTTTGATAAATTATAATGCGTTTGGATAATAAATAGAATTTCTATAGGTTTGGTTAAAATAAAAGAATCTGAAAAAGGTTTGGGTAAAAAATAGACATTGCCCAAAAATAAACTATATTACTTTATATTTTGTTTCAATGAAACAACTCTTATTCGTAAAGTATATGTCTATAAAATAAAACAAGTATTATTTAGCAAAATGTCAGAGTATAATCTTGATTGAGTAGTTATATTTATTTATTTATTTAAAAAATACTTCTTATTCATTCAGATCATGTTATACCTTAAACTCCTCAAATGAAGAGGAATCACATTAATAATATTTTATAATGTGTCATGTGTTCACATTAATAATATTTTCTCTATATCATGTTGATTGAACAAGCTCTATTGAGGCCCTAAGTCATATGCTAAAAAAATTCATTTCAGATTGGAGTTATCATCGACGGTTATAAATCAAAAAATTCAAAATGACTTAAGTATGATTATTGACGAACTTTGACTTCATACCATAGGATGAGACACATGATTCCTTATCAATTATTGAAATATGTGTGTATTGGAGACACTCTTTATCATTTAGTATTATATTAGTGATAAAACCTTTGAAAATTACACATTCAACGATCATATTAAGACCAAAATCCTCGATAGTGTGTGTGAGTATCTTAGATTGAGATTCTAAGCCAACATATAAATAATGACCACAGGTTGAGGTTTAGTCTAAACTTCAAGAATTAACAATTGATACATATTGTATAATATACTAAATTAAGTGTCTTTACAAAAAAAAAAAATTAACATCCAAAATGGAAATGAGTCGAGATTAGAGAATTTAATCATCGTGAGGGCTACGGTGTGTGTCAAGTTTCAATATGGATGAATAAATTGATCCAATACTGAAGTATCTTTACCAAGAATTTCTCACTAAAAAGTCCTAATCTTTACAACATTGGTTGAGAGTTCGTCCAAACTCGAGGATCATGAATATGTATTGGATTTCCAAAGGACCTAAAATCTCAATCCCTTACGGGGGCAAAATACCTCTGATCACAACCATAGGTGCCAAAGAAGAATGAAAAGAAGCCCAAAAATAGCAAAATAGAACATAACCTCCAATGGTTGTCTGACGTTATGGGGATAAAAGCGGGATCTCTATCACAAGGGCGGGGCATAGGCAAACAACACTCTTAATATGAGTATTTGGCGAGATAAGATAGGTCTAACGAAGTATCTGGATAATTTTGAGTCTACTATATATACACACACAAATATACATATATACATACATATATATATATATATGGTGGCTACTTCGGCGCACTCACTTTTTTGGGTGCATTCAGTGCACCCACCTCTAAAAGTGGTCATAATACATCAAATTTTGAAATTTAATGGGTAGCATTAGTCTCATATGATGATATAACACAGAATCACAACTAATCAACCCATTACCCTAACCTATTAACCTTTAATTTTGAATCTCAACCCAAAATCCCAAATTGTAAACCCTAACCATAACCCTAAATTCCTAAACCCTCAATCATTCAAATTAAAGTGAATCTTGGAATGATTTTTGTACAAATTCATGTGGTTCTTGTTCATCATACCACAAGGGATGATTGGCATTGTTTTCACATGAATCGCCTGCTCAGAATGACGATTATGAGGCGGGTGCATTGAATGCACCCAAAAAAGTGAGTGCACCGAAGACATAACCATATATATATATATATATATATATATGATTCAGCGAAATATATTGAAGTGCAAAAACCAAGTGTGAACACAGGCGTACAACGTACGACTGACGTACGCTAGCCTTTGCCATATATATATAAAATATCAAGGTATACTATACTTTTGATTTTACTCAAAATACGATAGAAGATAGGTATGACGAAGTATGTGCATCAATTAGAGGTTAGTGAATTAGGGACTGAAGTTCACCAAGTTAGGCTATATTATCATGCCCCAAAAAACTCCGGTTAATTCGGGGTGTAAATAGTAAATCTCAATGGTCGTATGGTAGTGTAAACGCAAGAGTATAGCGTACTCTAGCTTGAACTATATAGATGTGTGTGTGGTTCAGGTTGGCATATGCTAAATATTTGTGTTTTGGTTGACAAATTTTGACATAAGTTCTAAATGGGATGTGACAGCGACATAATTTAAGATTAGAAAACCGAAGCATCATAAGTGAGCATGCTAAATATTGGAAATTTTCATATTGGAAATTTTCAATATAGACATACTAAAACTTTTTTATGAATCAAGAACACAAAATAATTAGAAGATCCAAAATGATTTAAACATATAAATAAGTTAATTAATATAAATTATAAAATAAATCCGCCGGGTAAAAAGCTAGTAACTCTAATATGTATTGCAAGTTTGCAAATTGCAACTCAATAGTTACGACTTTCGACACCACCCTACACTGTGGGCTGTCGCCGCTTTCGGCCGAGATAGCACAACAGATACACGATTCGGAGCAGAAACTCCGGCGAACAATGAGCTTCACAAACCACAACCGATTGCTATCACTTACAAGACAGCTGACGTCTTACGTCAACCAAGGCTATCACGAACAAGCCCTGGCTCTGTTCCACCATATGCAAACCTCTGTGGTTCTCGACCCCCCTGTCTTTCCCCTTGTTCTCAAGTCCTGCGCCGCTATCCGCCGCACCCAGCTGGGCGCCGCTATCCACGCCCTCGTCGGCAGAATGGGTCTCCTCTCAAATCCTTTCGTCGCTTGTGCTCTGGTTGATATGTACGGCAAGTGTGCTTCAATTGACGTTGCACGCAGACTGTTCGATGAAATTCCCCAACGAAACGCTGTTGTGTGGAATGCCATGGTATCTCTCTACACCCATTCCAAGAGGGTTCGTGAGGCATTGTTAGTGTTTGATGCAATGGATGTTGAGCCGAGTACTGGTACTTTCAATTCCCTGATCGCTGGCCTGGCAGGAGTGGAGGATGGAGCGCTGAGAGCTATCAGATTTTACAGGAAAATGGGTGAGGTGGGTTTGAAGCCAGACTTGATTACGCTTCTTGCTCTGTTACCAGCCTGTGCAGACTTGGGGTCGCTGAATTTGATCAGGGAAATTCATGGGTATTCAGTGAGGAAAAATATTGATCCACACCCGCAGATAAGGAGTGGCATTGTAGAGGCTTATGGGAGGTGTGGGTGTCTGGATAGAGCAACCACTGTCTTCCAAAGCATGCAGCAAAAGAATGTGGTTCCATGGACCAGCCTGATATCTGCATATGCCCTCCACGGAGAGGCAGCGACTGCACTTGAAATATTTGGGCAAATGGAATTGGCAAACGTGAGACCTGATGGTATTACATTCCTTGCAGTTTTGAAAGCTTGTAGCCATGGTGGGTTGGCTGATGAAGCAATTCGTTACGTAAAAAAGATGCATGAATATTACGGTCTACGTGCGACCAGTGATCATTACTCTTGTCTGATTGATGTCCTGAGCAGGGCAGGTAGGTTGTCTGAGGCATACAAAATCATAAGTGAAATGCCAGTGAAGGCAACCGCAAAGTCTTGGGGTGCACTTCTTGGGGCATGTAGAACGCATGGAGAAATGGAGCTTGCCGAGATTGCTGCTAGAGCTCTGTTTGAGATCGAACCTGATAATCCTGCTACTTATGTGCTGTTGGCTACAATCTATGCTAATGCAGGGAGACAAGAGGAAGCCAACATAATCAGAAGTAAAATGAAATCAGTGGGAGTGAGAGTAGACCCTGGAGGGAGCTGGGTAGAATGAACGGTTATTGGAGATTGAGTACAACTCATTACAGTGATCAAGATACCGCTGGATGCATGGAAAGGTGGGGATCGTCGAAGGTGTGGAATTTTTGGATTCAATTGCCTTCGGAAATGTGCTTTTGTCTACTTCACATTTGATTTAGAGGAGGTTTATAAACCTGAGAGAGAGTACCTTGCCTTTTTTTCTTTCTTTTTTCAGTTTTTTGGTACAGGAATGATGATGCTATTATCAATTGCCAAGCAAATACAGCTTAGTACAACTCAAAACAGAGATCATGATACAAAAACTACACAGCTACATAAATCCAGGAGAAGAAGGGCACTGTTGCAAGCTGAAAGAATGAAATCCCTGAAGGCAAGTTCAACCTCCATCTTCATCCAGCGCTAAGCAGCTCACGAGAGACACGGGTTGATGATTGCTCACTATCTCCATCACAGCAGAATTATGAAATGATCAAATCGATCTTTCTTGAGAGAGTCAACCACAGAAGGAAACACGAGAACAAAAAATGCAGGGATGGCTTACAAGACTGCTTTAGTGGTAGCTTCCCGCACACCATGGGAACTGAGAAGTGCCGGTAAGACCCGGCGGTTATGTTTGTATGCCGTTGATACTTCTTATAACTTGTTGGTTGCTGGTTGGACTATTAGAGGGCAGAAGATCATAATTTCATGGTTAATGTCTTGGCTTGAAAGATGCCAGTAAGTTCTAAAGGTATCCATGAGCTTAGGGCTTAAAACGAGTCATAGTAGATATTTGGGAAATACATATATCTGGCAATGTAGACATTTTCATACGCTTGTGGTTATGGCAATGTAGACATGTCAAATGTGTTTGGTTGCAGTTGTTCTTGTAATTGAGTCTCTGTACTAAGTCCTCTTGTTTTGTGAAAAGGAGAATAATAGATTTTTAGGGTTAATTGCAAGGATGGTCACTGGGTTTACTAAAACCGTTCATGTTTGGTCACTGAAAATATTTAATTCCATTCATGGTCACTAAGATTAGTTCAATAGTTCAAGTTTGGTCACTCTCCGTTAGTCTCCGTTAGTTTTTGCTGATGTGGCAATCAACTATTATAGTTGACCGTTAAATGAGTGACGTGGCCAATAAAAAAATAAAAAAATTTAAATATTTACAATTTCTACCTCATTTTACAACTATTAAAAAATAAAAATAAAAATAAAACTTACCTCCGAGTCATCACCATCCCGGCATTGGTCAACTCTGCCTTCATGGCCCTCTACGCTTTCGCCGCCGTGCTTCTCTGCTGGGTCCTGTGGGCTCATCACATGGCCTTTGGTACCTTGAGGAAGAACCCTCACCTGGTCGCCAACCCGACCTTCTCCGCCACCGAAACCTACCTCCTCCGCCAATCCAAAATCGGATGGGTGCCCATGGCAGACTACGTCTTCTACCAGTTCGCGTTCGCTGCGATCACCGTCATACTCCTCGCGGGCTCCTTGCTGGGAAGTATGAACTTCTACGCTTGGATGTTGTTCGTCCCTCTCTGGCTCACCTTCAGCTACACCATCGGAGCTTACGCAATCTGGGGCGGCGGCTTCCTCGGCGGTTGCATCATAGACTACGCCGGTGGCTTCGTCATTCACCTCTCCTCCGGCGTCCATTGATCCCGCAATTGAACCACCACTCATGCCAATGCATAAACGGATTTCTTGAGTTCAAAGATGATGAGTGAACCCTTGGGACCAATCAGTAGAAAGAGTCCATTGATCCCGAGCTAGTCTTGGACCATCCGCGCATGATGTTGAATTTGATGAGTTCGTAAACTAGAACGAGAAAACGTAGGGACAGTTTTGTCACTAAACAAAAAGAAGAGCTTGGGTATGCCTTTATTGCCTATTGCACCACGAACCAACGAACCAATAATTAGGTGTAAGCTCTCTCTGCATTCATGATATCCAACATCAAAATTTTTGTCTCCAATCCCCGTTACCGTTTTGAGCTACAAAACACAAATTCAAAAAGGTGGGTAAGGAAAAAACCTAAATATGCTCCACTTCACTACCAAAGATCCAACAAATAGAAAATTACAAGCCCAAACGTCTATAATCTATATCAATCCCCATCAATGGGAAAACACATTCAGTGTCACCAAAGCGAAAGATGGACCTAGCAAAAGGGTTAAGGCAATAACTGCTACACTACTAATCAGCCTGCTAACCCTTATCAGCGCGGTTGCTCTTGCATCGTCCATTGCAGGAGATAGCTTCCCTGCATTGGTCACTCTCCGTTAGTAGTGATTTTATAAGCCCACAGGATTCAGCAGAGAAGCATGGCGGCGAAAGCGTAGAGGGCCATGAAGGCAGAGTTGACCAATGTCGGGATGGTGATGACTCGGAGGTAAATTTTTTTTATTTTTTATTTTTTAAGAGTTGTAAAATGAGGTGGAAATTGTAAATATTTAAATTTTTTTATTTTTTTTATTGGCCACGTCACTCATTTAACGATCAACTATAATAGTTAACTGCCACATCAGCAAAAACTAACGGAGACTAACGGAAAGTGACCAAACTTGAACTATTGAACTAATCTTAGTGACCATGAATGAAATTAAATATTTTCAGTAACCAAACATGAACGGTTTTAGTAAACCCAGTGACCATCCTTGCAATTAACTCTAGATTTTTAGGTGAGTCGTTCATGTTATCATTTTATCATTACATTTAATACTAGGTGGTGATGTCGCACCTTATCGTGGAGTAGAGATGGTCTATAGACATGTATTGTGTGGCTTGTTAAGGTGTTTTGTTAGTATTATTAGTATAAAATTATTTTTTTTGTTAGTAATAGTGACTTGACAATATGATATTGACTGAGAAGAGATATATGACGGTCAACATCCAATTTAAATTTTTTGAAAATTTTGGCTAGTAAATGATATTTACCTAAACCCAAGTAGACCCATTGATTTATTATGGGTAGGATATGATATGGGTAACATATATGAGTTTGAAAGTTTGTATTCTTTTTGCTTCTCTCTAGAGTTATTCTTTTGCACCTGGGTGAGATTTTTCAACAAATATACATGGAATGTTTGGCTAGATATCTACACATATCAAATCTCATACTTGTGATTAAAATACATAAAAAGTAGTATATTAATTATGGTTAAACGAAGAAGGCAAAGAAAGAAATAAAGAAAGGATTATGGAAGGCGAGTGAAAAATGAAACGAAGAGTATGTACTAAATGAGTTTAAAAATTCGCTCTTGCAATTTTTGAGTTGTCTATCTTTTATCATTTATTTAATGTTTCACATAATGAGTAAATATAAAATGATCGAATCTTCTCGTACAGTTGAGTGAGACAACATCTTGTATTGTACAAACTAAATTTATACTTTTATGTTATGGTGGATTGGATTCACAGATTGGTTCAAAAGGATTGGTGGATTGAATTCATGGATTCAAGTGAAATCAAAACATTGGACCAATATGTAAATTCAAAAAATTGTAGGTACGAAAATCTCATAAAATTTAGATATCAAAACATAATTGTTTAATAATTTTATACAAAATTATTATTGGAGTATCAAAATGTAAAATTTACATTATAGTAACTAAGGGATCGTTTGTGAGTTGTGAATGTTAAATTGTTACATTGTAATGAATCACAACAAAATAAATACATGTACTGGTACAATGTATGCATTTTAATAATACATTGTTTGGTTGTTGAGATTATACTTTATGTATTGACTTGTATAAAGTTACTTTATGGGGAAATGTCACATTTATCTTCAACTTTTAGTATAAGAAAAAACTAATAGGGATATAAATGGAAAGAAAAATTGGACACAAATCTAAAATCAACAATCTCAACTTTTAGTTGAGATTGTATAATGCATCATTTTTTGTGATTGTTGGTTGGACCTACCTAAAACAAATAACTGCATTGTTTTACACTTCGACACTTCCAAACATTGTATTGTGCACAATACATGTATTCAATAAATACAACTCTAACAATCACAACTACCAAACGACACCTAAGTTGTGGTTTGATTAAATTTGAGGTATCAAAAGGTAAATTATTTGGCAACAGTTAGCTGGTTCGCTATGACACAACTCCTAACAATGGCCAAGTGTAACCAATGAAAGGGACAGCAGTATAGTGGCCCAAGTAATAAATATCGAATCCACGGGTCTCTAGAGTTACTATTACTCAGCTTCATTTCATTATCTAGCAAACCAGATTAAGATGGAAGAACTAAAACTACTCTAGCAAACTACAGTTAAAGTTAATCTAATTACAGGTTGGGCACTCACTTAGGTATGATTCCCCCTGGCCACTAGCCAGATTAATGATTGATGATCTCTAACCTGTTTCAATTTCATTCACAATGCGGAGAATCCTTGACTAGACCTTGAGTCTCGACTAAAGGAACAAGGCCCTCTTGAGTCAATTGCCTCGAGGGACGTATCCTTCTCTAGAACAACCGATCAAGGCGTTCTGAACTAGACTCCCTCTATCGAAAGAGGTTCTCAATCGATACAAAGCAGTGAACCAACCCTCGACTAAAGCAATCGACCCAATACTATCAATCTATGGTGCTCTATTGACCTAATCAGGTATTCGCTCTCATAGGATCAAAGCAGAATCAATAATCTCGACTAAAGCATAATTGAATCATGAAAACATGCATAGATTGAATATGAACTCAAGATTATCAAGTAAGAGTACTCATACAATCATCCAATCAAACAAACATAGCTAGGGTTCCTCAAAACCTAAGTGAAGGGAAGTTACTCCATAGAGAAGAGAGAGACTGCAGTAAGAATCTTCAGATGATCAGTCTTCACGTCCGGGCTTGTTCCTCGAGCTTCTAAGGCAAAGAAATCCTCCAATTCCACTCCAAGAATGCCCTCAAATCGCCCTCTCTCTCTTTGGTTCGTCCCTTGGGTGTTTAGGATCCAAAACCCAGCTCTCCCTCTCCTTTGGCTCGAATTTGGGTTAAAAAACCCGATTCTGGGCAAA